CACATTTTCGAGAGTCTTTATAGACTTCGTTCTAATGTCATCCCTAACTCTTTCCTATAACTGTCGTTCAAATGCAATATATTACTTTGTTAACACGCAACACACCTGCGTAGTCATTAACAATGTCTTTAGGCGTTTATTAGAATGGAAATTTACTAATGGAAATTAACAATACAATATTTCCTTCTCTATGGATATGCTTTTTCTTCTTTTTTTCTTTTTCTTGAACTGTCTCATATATCACATACATATATATGTACACATATGTATGCGACCAACTGGATGACAATTCGAAATATTCTTTTTAATATTCGCTATTCTTGATTCATAAACTAAGTGTTTCACAGTTAATAAATGATTTTCATAAAAGTTATAATCAACATTTCTATTCTATTATCAATCGTACAAAAATTATAATATATATATATATATATATATATATATATATATAAATATAATATATATTAATAATAAAATAATATATATAGTAATATATAATAAATTATAGACGTATATAAAAATGTACATATGTATAAAAATCAATTGTATAAAAATTTATATTAATAGATCTTAATAGATTTTTATTTAATAGAATATTAAAATTTCGATTAACACAAAATATTTTTCGTCACATATTTATCCTGATCGCTTAATTCATTAATTAATATAAATATCTATGTAAACGATAACCTGAAACGGTAATTTGAAATATCTTTTCTAATAATCGCTATTATTATAATACATTCCTTTTTCTCTATGATAAATTATACGCACGCAAGAGAGAGTTGATAAAAAAAAAAAAAGAAAAAAAAAACAAAGAAAGAAAACAAACAATTTCATAAAAATCATATTAACGATTCGAATCGCACGAGATATACTACCTCGCCCTATTTATCTATCCCATATATATATCTAATTATATTATCGCGATATTAACTCCATTAAAGTATCGTAAAACATTATTACAGATCTCTTTCTCACGTGTATTATTATATCGTAGAAGTCAATTAGTATAATAAATGATATCAAGGATTTTCTCTCATGTGTCATTAAAGAGAATCGCCAAGGGATCGTATTAAGGTTCTACCTATCCTTCGGTAAGAATATTTCACCTTTTCTATGTATCCCCATAGGCTAAATTTATCTTTTACAACTCGTAGGAGATGTACTTACTCGTCTCGACATTAGTATTCCGAGCTAAGGCAGACGCTCTAGTCGGGCGTACCGCATTAACGAAGCACGTAGCTAAAACCACTGCCTTCGCGCATGCCGCTCGATAAGCGTGCTTGCCACTTTCCCTGACCAATACGCGTGTATGTATATATATATACCTATGTATATATATATATATGCATATGTATTATATATGTGTGTACATATATATATATATATGTATGCATGTATGAATGTATGTATATACGGATGCATATACGTCCGTTCTTATTATATTAATCTTATTCGTCTTTCGTCTTATGCAGAAACATGAGATATCACTCAGAAAATGGGGAAAAAAAAAAAAAAAGGAAAAAGAAAGAAAAGAAAGCTTTTCCTTATCGTTATTCTCCAGTTTGGTTTGTCTTTTTCGTTTTTCTTCCTTTTTTTTAAATAATATTTAAAAAAAAAAAAAAAAAAAAAAAAAAAAGGAAATTACTATCGTTTTTTTTTTTTTTTTTTTTTATTAATACAGAGATGTTATGACTAATAATGTTATAATTAATTTATCTATACTATTAAGATAAAATCAAATTAATATTGATGTTATTATACTGTAATATATTATATTGTTATTAAGTTAATTTTAATTGATATTAAATATCAATTTGATGTTCTATGTTAATTAAGAAATAATAAATTATAAGAATATTAGTTAAATTGATATTAATACACACACACATACACAAAATTCTATATTTTAATATAATATATTAAATATCAATTTAATTAATATTTTCTATAACAATATAATTAATATTTGGATTATATAATTTTTTTCTGCAAAAAGAAAACAAAAAAAAAAAAAAAAAAAAAGAAAACAAAAAAAAAAAAAAGAAAATAGAAAAAGAAAGAAAAAAAAATCATAAAAAAAATTAATTCATATATCTTGAAAAGTATGAGAATTATTAGAATGTATTTTCAAATTTTCAAGAGAATACGATAAACGATGATATTTTTCAACGTCGAAATAGAATTGTTTCCATCATAAAAAATGAGATATTTCTTTTTCACCCTCACGATGTGTATCTATTACATTTATCTATCTATCTATCTATCTACCTATCTATATATATCTCGGTTTCTAACCTATCAACGTTCGAAGCGCACATTCGTCGAACGTGCAACGAAAACCACAGTTCTTTAACAGACGAATCGTCTAGACGCGTACCGCAACAACACAACACGCGGCTTAATAGCCTTTCACAAACCCGGTTAAGTCCTCGATTTTGCGCTAACGCCACTCTCTTCTAACCTCAGTGCACAATGGATTCCAAAAAAAAAAAAAAAAAGAAAAAAAAAAGAAAAAAAAAAGAAAAAAAAAAGAAAAAAAAAGAAAAAGAAAAGAGAGAAAAAAAAGGGAAAAAAAAGAAGAAGCGAGAGGAGTAGAATGGAGAGGATAGAGAGTCCTTGAGTCTATAATACGTCGGCAGAATTCATAAAAAAGATTTTATGAAACAATTGACTCTCGAGATCGAGAAAGGAATTATATACCTATTAGATATCTATACAAAACAAATATTAAGGATTATATAATAAATATATATAGTAAGTATATATACGTATACACATAATATTTATATAAAATACTTTCACTTTTCCTTACGAAAGATTTGAATTTCGCGCCAGAAATCGATAAAATTTAAGGTTTAATATTCACGGAAAGTGGATCTCTCTCTCTCTCTCTCTCTCGTGGCCATGAAAAAAGTTTAAAAGATAATTTAGCGTTAATCACGTTATAATATATACTCATCGAATTTTCGAAATTTGAGATGACTTAAGAAAAATTAATTTAAGGAACGAAAACTATTTTATTATAAGATTATATATGGCTCAAATGTTAGAGGTTATACAATATTGTGTAGATATAAAATATTTAAACTTGGCCAGGGTTCAACATTTAAATTAACTTAACTTAGTTCAAATTTTCCATACCTTTCGGATGAAATTCTCATAGAGAATATTTTTAATGGTATATACGCAATGCTATCTAATATAAATATTTTTGAAAAATCGATCTTTTATTCTTTTTTTTTTTCTAGTTTTCTAAATACATGTAATCACTGAAAAGTTGAGAGTAAGGGAGGATTCTTCCTTCTTCGTTTTTTTTTCCTTCTTACTCTTTCAAGATATAGTTCATTAAGAAAACTTCCTTAACACGAATAATAAATTTACTTTCATTCGAATTAAACAGATATGACGAAATGTGACGGGGTGTTCGTATGTACTTTTCGAACGTTCAGAACTTGCGCGTCTAGAATCGACTACAGGTAGTCGGGGCACACACATGCACTTACTACACATATATTCTTTCTTTTCTTTTTTACTTTTTCTTTTCTTACAGCGACTTGACAAACGAGTCGAACAACGTAGCCAATGAGAATTCAGCATAATCTTAGGCATCACAGGCATTTTGAAATTCGACAGATAAGAAAAAACGTTTTGTAAAAGCTATTTTACAAATGTACCTTTCATTCACTTTTATTTGTAATAATATTTAGTGAAAGAGTATATTTAAAAAAAAATAATAATAATAAAAAAAGAACAAAATATAAAAACTTCGTTCGCAATAACTTATAATTTACAATTTCTTAAATAGAAAGAATTCGTTCCTAATGTATACATACATCATACACACAGCTACATACATACGTATATACATACATACATATATATATGTATATATATATACATATATTATATGTACGTACATAAAAAAAATCAAGCATACAGATTAAGAAATATACCCCATTTATTTAACGAAACAACTTAACCTAAAAAAAAAGAAAAAATTCTCGAGACGCTTTGGTAACGCGCATTTTCACGAGTTATGAATTTAAAATTGCCGCTCGATTCTATAAAAAGTGACAGAGTAAAGAAAAAAGAAAATAACTTTCGTTGATTATGTTGACTCACCTTTTTTTTAACTATATGACCAAACGTCGTCATCCTTTCGAGATCGTATCTAATATCTTTCTTGATAACAATTATTTCGAAATCATTCAAGTTTCCAACAGACGATTGAGAGCTCACGAAACATTTGTTTATATCGAACGTCGTACACGTCGTCGTATAATCGTATCGAGTATTAACATCGTACAAAATGATCTCGAATAATAAATAATCGAGTGACGGAATATGATCGACGAAATCACGAGGAGTTTGAACAATAGAAAAAAAGTGAACAGAGAGGGGGAGAGAGAAAGAGAGAGAGAAAGAAGAGATACTATTCTGTCGATATTCAATAGGAGAAATGAACTGGAAAGAGATGCTAACGAACGACAGCCATCGGACACGATCCTGTCACTTTTGATTGGTTGCTTTGAAAAAGACTAAAGAAGAATGCGCGGCCCGCTTACTCGATTCTCGAGAAAACAAAAGAAGAAAGAAAGATGTCTGTCCGGTACACGATTGGTTGACTACGTGCAAATAATAAACTGGACACAAAAAAAAAAAAAGAAAAAGAGATAAAATAAAATACGAAATAGAATATAAGAAATTTTCGTTGAATACTGCGTATACCCATATTTACAAAAGTAATTCGCCACTAACAGTCATAGGAAATTTGAAAAACAAAAGGGGGAGGGGGGAAACGAGAAGGCGGGACTTTCGAGGTTACGTTTCCAACGTAACGGTCGCTGTTAAGAGAGAGAGGGGAAGAGAGAGAGAAAGAGAGAGAGAGGAGAAGTGAGAAGTGAGGAAGGGCAAGAGAGAGAGAGAAAGAGAGAGAGAGAGAGAGATACGTTTATTCCAATTAACTGAGATTGTATGAGTGCGTTTATACTTACGATTCGATTCTCGACGCACGCTCTGTCGGCAGAAAGCGCCGGAATCCGGGGTGCACAGGTGTGTCCTTGCGTGTACCACCAGGTGGGATGATAAAGATGCCAATGAGAATAACGACGAGGAAAAAATTTTCGCAATAATGTAGAAGTCAATGATTACTAAATCGACGATTATTACGGACAAGGACGATAATAACGACGACGACGACGAGGGAGAAAAAAGATCGAACACACGACAGCACACACTCTCTCACTGAGTCACAAAACAGACTAAAGCCCGCTAGTCTGAACGGAAAAAACGACCATCCGTCGCGCCGTCACCGAGCCAACTGGCAACGCGAGCCGCAACGCGTCATTGTTGCCCTCTGTCGGTAGAATTGACATTACGAATGATGCGCCATCACCTTTTATCCGACGGAGCATGAACTATCTGCTCTTATCTCTCTCGTTGGCGCCAAATTCGAATTTTTTTTCCTTTCTCTTACGATCATTATTCTTAATTTATTAGGATTATTTGACCGGTATGTAATTTTTATTTTAATCTTTGGATATTGACAAATACGTGTATGTGTGTCTTGCACGTATGTGCGTTCTCTTATAAAACTAATAATAAATTATCGTATATAAATATTATTTTTCAATGTTAATCTTATTCTATTCTATTCTATTCTATTCGATGTTTTAATGTTTCATAAAAATAAAATGTATAATAATAGTAATAATAATAATAATAATAGTAATAATAATAATAATAATAATAATAATAATAATAATAATAATAATAATATTAATAATAATAATAATAATAATAATAATAATAATAATAATAATAATAATAATAATAGTGTCTTTATTTTAAAGTATGCCAAATGTTGACTAGTTTACGCGGACTTTGTAAAATTAAAAACCAATGTAATCTTTCCATAGAACCTCTGACTCCCTTTCCAAGAGCTACTTTACCGATAAAAATGTCTTCGGTCTTTTTAAACGAATTTACCGAAGAGTCCTCGCTGTCACTCTGATGCTCGTTGCAACTCGTAGGTTCGATATTTTTCAACGAAACCTAAAAAAAAAAAATTGATCTCGTTTAACATACTTCCACGTTCTCCGTTCTCCTTTCGTTGAAAACGTTTTAAGATAAACAATTATACGTGCCCTACTGCATAATACAATTAAAAATTGTACGGTATCCAATTGATCATATGTCACATCGAATGTCAACGTCTCATTGAATTCCGGTTGAGCGCAGGCGTGAAGCGTTCTCGTTTTTCTCTTTTTCATTTTCTTTCCCGTCTTTCCATTCAACATCAGTACTCTTACATACGGATCTGAAAAGCGTATAAGATAGAATTTCTCGTTCGACATTTAAAAAGTTTTAAGTTGAAATGTACGAGAATTATAACTTACAAAATTCATTTAAACTGGGTACGAATTTGAGAACTTTAATGTTCCGCAATTCCATTATGTTAATCGTTAATCTCTGCGCCGTTGGCAAATAACTTACACCTAATAAAATTTTGCCGAATTCCTGAGAATATCAAATTATAATGGATATTAAAAATTCGATAGATAATTTAAAAAAAAAAAAAACAAGGGAAAAGGTAAAACAAAAAAAATTATGAAATAGTAATTGCGATTTATACCTGATAGGATGGTTTCATTCTATAATTGAACATATGCTTCTCAGGACTTTTAAATATTATCTTAACATCCTTGATTGCCACTTTCAATGAACACAATTCAGTGTGATTGGCGTACCTATCGTGATCGTACGCCGTTATGTCTAATGCCCATTCCTATGTGAAAGAAATATAATTAAAAGAATAAAATAAAAAAAAGAAAAAAAAAAAAAGAAAAAAAAGAAATTAAAAAAAAATAAAAAGAAAAGTAAAAAGAAAGAAAAAAGAGGCAAAAAATACGATTAAAAAAAAAGCGATAAATAATTAAACTTCGATCCGTAATGAAAGTAGAAGGGAGCATAAAAAAAGTGGCGCTTGCAATTGGCAACCAGTTATACAGTCGAGTGTAATCGAATCATTTTCCGGAGTCACCGAAACGAGCCATTTGCGTAGCGATATGTAATGCAAAAGCATGGGCTCGATTTCATTGATAACAAAATTATTTGAATACATTTCGAGTTAACATATTTACGTAAAGCTTAACCAAGGTAATAACTTTTTCAACGAGTTTAAACGGCTCTTCATAACGAAAGTCTGTTCTTTTTAATGGCTCTTATTTCTCTTTGGAATACCAAACGAACTTTGTCATTGGTATTACGTACGAAAAAAAGAAAAGTAAAAAATATCTTATACGTGTACGTTACCTACAAAAGGATTATACTACTTTAACACTGGCTTATCTCTATCTCTCTTTTTTTTCTCTCTCTCTCTCTCTTTCTCTCTCTCTCTCTCTTTCCCTATCTCTTTTCCTCACTTCTTCTGTCTCTTTTTTTCACGACACACTTAGAACGTAACGCATTATGACAGGATGTGTGTACCTATTAAACGCTTCAAAAAAAGGAAAAAAAAAAGTAAAAGAGAAGAACGATAAAACCGAGTATATACCTTAACTTCGTGAGGTTTTGCATTGGCCACTACAAAAGTTTCCCTGTAAATCGGATTGACCGTATGTCTGATGCCTCTCGTTCTGAAACTATGCAATTTCATTTGTTTCCTGTGACTCCACGATTGTTTCACAATATTTAAAGCCACGTAAGGTTCGATCGTGCAATTGTATTGTTTCGGTGGAAGGCTGGATAGCGCCTATGAAAGGAAAATAAAAAAAAAAGAAGAAAAAAAAAGAAAAAAAGAAAAAACAAATAAATAAAATGGATATCCAAATGCATTCGAATAATTATTATTTTCATAAGAGAAAGAAACGAGATAATTTCAATTCGATACCTCGATGCCGACTACGAATTTTCCCGTAATAGTTTCGTCGCAAGGAGGAAAATATTGCAAACTCAAAGTCAATTCAGTCGGAAATTCCTTTTCCTTTTTTTCGTTCTTCCGTTTTTCGATTTGAATCAAATTCTGCGAATAAAATAAAATGAAGAATAATTATTTATTTATTAAAAAAAAAAAAAAAAAAAAAAAAAAAAAAAAAAAAAAAAAAAAAAAAGAACTGATATCGTGAACAAAGTTTTCTATAAAGGATGTTTCAGATTGATGCTTCAATGATTTAATTCGGCATACTAAAGTAAAAAAAAAAAAAAAGAAAAAATAGTTCATAAAAACATAAAATTTTCCCCCGATATATACTTGTTTCGAAGATGGAAAACAAGTTTTCGTATCGATTGTTTACAACTTTGCCTTTAGAAAAATTACTCGAAGTTACTAACCTTGTCTCTAATACAAACTTCTACAACCATTTTTATCGTTGCAGATTTTGACTTGTTCAAAGTTGCCTGTTTATTATTCGAATATATTGACAAATTCCAATAATAACACGTTGTCGGAATATTTATTTTAATCTTATCTACAGTTTGCTGTACTGCGAACTAACTCGCATTAGTAACTGTCAGGCTTTATCCTCGCAGATAAAAATCTATCGGTTTTGAGTCTGATCGATCCATTTATTTGAAAAATTGTTCGTTCGAACGAAAAACTTCGCTTTGTCGAACAATCAAAACATAGAAATTCGATTGTATTCTTAAAAAACGAGATCATAATGGGAATACGAAATCGTTTGTTTTTAAAAAAATATCATTTTTCTTATTTTTTAATCTATCGAAATCATGTCGCAATGTTATGATCATAACGTTCTGAAACATTTTCCTTTATACAAAACGATAAAAATCAAATTTCAATTTGATTTACCAAAGTTGATGATGTTTCGATGCTTTCGAATTGGCCACAAGTCGAATTAACTGAGTTCCTTTGAAATTCTACGTTTTCGCTGATCGTTCCTGTATTCATAAATAACATATGTTCTTTTGTTTTTGTTTGTTTTCCTTATTTTTTTTTCTTTTTTTTTTTTTTAACAAAAATTTCCTTATTATTAGAATTAACTCTAGTCGTGCACACCTTAAGATAATTTCAAATTGTATGCTTGAGGTGAGTTACATCCTAGACTTTTTAAACAGCTACCATTTATACATAATGAATAATTTTGACTCCAAGAAAACACGGTGTATTCTTTGAAATCTCAGAAATAATAATCAATAGATTTAAAAATGCATTTCCAATTCTGTCATTATAAAAAAGATTCACGAATCATGCAATGCACAAATTGTTTTAATTGAGCTCAAAGTTGATCTGAGGTGTCCTATATTCGACAGGTACAACTAGAGTTAATATATTAAATATATATATACATACACACACACACACACATGTATAAAGAAAAGAAAAATAATATCGCACCATTGCCGTTGTTACCATTTTCGTAAAGACTTCCCAATCTCCAAGATCTGTAACTTACATCGTTCAACTTGACATTGTCGTTACTTCCTTCTTTCATTCGTGACAGAATATTCGTAGATTCTTTCTCTAGAAAAAAAAAATAATAATAATAATCATAATAAAAAGAAAAACAAAACCTATTCGTTCATTTCCGATTAGATACACCCTTGTTATTTATTATAGAATATATAAAATATTAAATAAATATGCAATTTAATAGTATAATAAACTTCATTATTGTTATAACAAATTGTAAAATATGCAAAGTAAATGCTACATATTATAGTTACATACTTGTCGATTCGCATAGTTAATTACGTAATCATTAAGAGGAAACGAAGAGTACAACGATGACGTTTCTACGTTACTTATTCGTCCCGCGCAAAAACGAAGGCGTAATTGGCTTTGTCTCGACTTTATCATAAGTCATTTCCTTGTAAATATTTCGAAATCGATAGTAAGTAGCTCGATCGATCGACGTAGTGATGAATAGATACATATATAAAACTTATTAAATGTGTAAAAGATAATTAGTAAGTATATATATTATATTTAAAATTTACGATTTATACGTAATATATATATATATATATATATATATATATATATATAATATATATATATATATTATATATAAATAATACATAATATTTATCACATAAATTTAAACATTGTGTATATTATATATAAATAACACATAATATTTATTGCATACATTTAAATATTGTATATATAGTATATATATAGTATATATATATATATATATATATATATATATATATATATATACAAATATCATAATTATTATTATAGTGATATATAATAATATAATAAAACTATTACTATAACTTTTTTTATTACTGTATTATTATAATATTATTTTTATATGTATACATATATACATATATATATAAATAATAGCTTACTGCGTTTTCTTGTACACTCGTAACCGATGCAACCAGGTGTTAAGAAGCAGGCGACGATAAGTAAGACAAAGAGGACAACCGTTGCAATAATGATGATGAATATAATTTGGCCCCATGGGCCAAATAATCCGGTGTCCACCATTCACTACAATCGCCAGGTCAAGGACCTTTAATACAGAAATCAAGATCAAGGATACTACTTTTCTAAACTTTATTTCTTTCAATTATTATCTTCTTTCGACAATTATCAGATATAAAAATATTATAAAAAAAAAAAAAAAAAAAAAAAAAAAAATAAGAAAGAGAAAAAAATTAAAAGAAAAAATAGACACTATAAAACAATATTATATAATATGATGAGTTATTATACATATAATACGTATGAATATATATATATATATATCATTGTTTCACTGTTCAGAACGAGAAAAGGAAATACAAATAACTCATGCATACTTTATTTCCAGCACGTTATCGTTTCTCTCTTTATTCTTTTTTTTCTTTTCTTTTTTCTTCTTTGCGTCCTCGTATATTCTACTGATAAAGAAAATATATATACATATATATATATATTTTCTTATATATATATATATTGGATATAATTGGCCAATCTCAAGGCTAGCTACATTACGTTTTGTAAGTTTAATCCCACGCTCGTAGACGTTACGGTGCATTTCTAACGAGTAAGTTAAAAAATACATATACATATAGAAGAAGGATGGGACGCAAAAAAAGAAGAAAAAGAATAATAATAAGAAGAAGAAAAAAAAGGAAAAGAAGAAGAAGAAGAACAGAAACACAGAAATATTGGCAACAAGTGAAGAACACTTGTGTCACCAAAGCTTCGCAAACTCGTGTTCATAATCCGTATATCGTTGACGAATTCGAATAGAATAATAATAAAAAAAAAAAAAGAAATAAAGAATCCGATAAAATCGATTCTACCTTCTTCTCCTTGATGTATAATATTTCAAATGATGAACAATCATCAAAGATTTCCACGTTTTTCTAACGATGATATTTTTAGAACGATGAATCAGGCACGAACCGCATGGACACACCTGCATCGTAATTAAGAACGAATAGATAACGAAAAATGAAGAAAAAAATAAAAAAGAAGAAGAAGAAGAAGAAAAATAATAAGAACCATTCGCATATTCGAATTTACACGGCAAAAAATATTCCATAGAATATTTCAAATATTAGAATATACCTACTCAACACCATTTTCACACACGTCGTTTCACTTATATAAAAATTTAACGAAAGCAAAGCGACATTTCACTGTTCTAACATTATCGTTCAACCACTTCCGCGATCGGATTCTTAACATTAATTATTTATTTTTCTTTGTCCCACGATCACTCGTCACTCTCTTTCGAAAATGATCGATCGATCGATCGATCTATTTATCGATCTTTTCCTTTTTCGTTTTTTCTTTCTTTTTCTTTTCTTTTATTTCTCTTTGTCGATTACCTTCTTTAGGAAACACTCGTACAAAATAGAACATGACTGCTGACACGAACTCGTTCGTTATCGTTTAATCGTCAATGTATCGATGAATTTACTAAGAACACAAAGTTTCTCTACACGCTTATGTATATGTCTACTAGATATATGTAAATGTAAATGTAAATGTGTATGTATATACATACACATAAACATACACACACATATATATGTATATATATATATATATATATGTATGTGTAATGTGACGACGTAAGAGTTGTCGTAACTTGACCAATCGAAACGAACGAATCGATCGACGTCGAACGAACGTCCTTCGTCGATCCTCCTCAACGAAATAAATAAGACGGAGAGACAAATGCAACGTGTACCGTACAACACGACGTACCGTACGTATTTACGGATAGGGGAAAAGAGAGAAAGAAAAAAAGAGAGAGAGAGAAAGAGAGAGAAAGAGAAACGTATTGCAAGTTACATTGGTGTGGTCCCCTCTTCGAACTTCCGTGCACCTTCGCGCCTATCTATCCTTTTCCGTCTTTATCTGTATATATAGACACACGTACATAAACGCACACATATATATGGAACGATTGAACGTAACACTTTTGTCGTTTATACGCGTCATTTTCATTTGTACGTGGGTGTGTATATGTGTATGCATATATGTATGTATGCTGTGTATGCTGTGTATGTGTGGGTATATATATATATATATATATATGGTTCTAACAGCACCCAGAACAATGCCACGCGTAGATTTTTATGTCATATATATATATATATATGCGTGTACGCACGCGTGCGCGTATATGTGTGTGTAACCAACGAGGAAACCACGTGTTATCGCTGATAATGCAAAACTAGTATAGTCACTTTAGTATTCACTTTTTTTCACGTTTGAAAAAAAAAGTAATTTTTACATTAGTTAAATGACGTTATTAAATGTTTTAATGTCGCGAATATTTTTTTCGTTCTCCTTTTCATTTTCTTCTTTTCTTCCTTATTTATCTATCTTTTTTCTCTTGCACTGTTTTTTTTTTCTTTCTTTTTCTAAGGAGTTGAGTAGTTATTTTCTCTTTTTTCTTTTCGTCCTTTTTTTTTTTTTATTTTCTTATGAGAATGATGAAAAATACCATTGCATTTCTGATTGAATTTTAATAATTTAACGAATGCTATTCGCTGTGGTTTTTCTTTTTTTTTTTTTTTTTATCTTACGTTTGATTGTTTACGAATGAGAAAGCATTCAATTTAAAGTATTCGGTCGTTTCACTTTTTAATTCTCATTCGTTGATTTAATCTTGTCTACTCAACAATCAGAGAGAAAGAGAGAGAGAGAGAGAGAGAGATCGTTGAATTCTTGATAATGATTAGTATCTACCCACGCTTTCCATAATTTTTTTCGATTTTTAAAGTTTGAATACGACGGTAAAAGTCGCGTGGGTTAGAATAGAGAAAGAAAGATAAAAATTTAGTGAATGCAGTTATGCGCATTTTTTATTCCGATAATTTTTAACGATACGCGACCATCGTGTATTCTCAATGAAAACTATGTTCTAGATTACAAAAGGAGAAATTATATGTTATCATATAAAATAATAATGCAATCGATACTCATCAATATCATTCAGTTTATTTAAATCGGTGCAGAGATCACTAGCACGAGGTTATGGCCATGATTGAACGATTTTTTATATTAGATTTCTAATCCATTTCATTCTAATGCTTACGTGAATGTATGAATATGCATATATCTTAATATATATTATTTCGTATACAAAAAATTATTTTACTATTTATTTAAAAATTAATTTAATATTACAATATAATAAAAATATATATTTAATAGAGGTTTTTTATTGACATTTATTTATTTATTTATTTATTGTAGTGTAATTTTAAGTCATTATTTATATAAAAAAAAATTTAATCAGTTATTCGTCGCGTTACATGTTTGACTCTATATATTGCAATCACATTTATGTACATGTATATGTTATATATAGATTTCTAATTTTTAACACATGTATATACCACATTCACACATATATATATAATACATTCACACGTAATTAATGTGTATAGATAAAATCATGATATTATTATATTTAATTGATTGTTAGATTATTATGACACACACACACACACATACACACATACATACATGTTAAAAATTTTACATGTAATCCTTATTTATACATAAAACATGATTTTATTTATAATTAATTATTTTGATTACTTATTAATGACATATTTACATATGTCAAATGAAACATATGTAAAATATCATTTATATTTATATATAAAATCATGATTTTATTTAATCAATAAATTATAATAAAACATAATTATACATGTCCAAAGATCAATATATTATTTATATGTATAGATAAAATCGTAATTCTCGATGAAAGGGAAAAATAGAGGAAAAAGAAATAAATAAATAATTATTACTCGACGTATTATCACTGTTTCAAAGGGTCAAATGAAAAAAAAAGAGAGTTTGAAACGTCGATATCGAATAAGTTCTTCCGCAGTTGACCTCGATCCCCGATCCACGTCCCTCCTTTCACTTTAAAACTTCTTCCCGGACACCTGACGATGTCGAAGAACTTACCTGCACATTCTGTAACGAATCAGTCTGTAACTCAGTTTGCCCTGGTACACTTGTGTCTTAGTCTCTCCGGCTTTTACATTTCACTTTCACGTAAGTTCAACCAAGAGAGACTGAACACGAACGATCAAACATTAAAACGATTGGCTTTAAATATTCATTTTTGTGTGATATTTTAAGACAATTGATATTCTTTTGTATTTTTTTTCTTTGTTTCTCTTCTTTTCATTGATCTATTCTATCTATACTGTGGTTTATAATCAATTAAAGAATAAAAATAAAAAGAAATTAATTAGTGCAATCAATTCAAAAAGAGAGAGAGAGAGAGAGAGAGAGAGAGGGAGAGAGAGAGAGAGAGAGAGAGAAAGAAAGAGTGAGAGTGAGAGAGCTTTCAATGATCTATCTATACTATCAACGAATTGAGAAAGTATCCAAAGGAAAAGTCTCTTCTAGTGTATTTCGTGAAAGCTGTGTTAAGAAATAAAATTTCTTGGTTTCAATGAAATCTCTGTGAGGTATCTATAAAGATGCTAATTTATTTGTCCTTTAAATGTACGACATGAAAATGTAAATTCCAGCTCATTTTAAATTCTGACATATTTCGAGTTTGCAAAATATACTAACTCGATTCAATATTAGAAATTTTTGTTCAATCTGTAAATTGGCGTAAAGATTATGCAAGTTTATCGTCATGTCGATACACGATTTTTCCTTTGATATTTGTCTTCTTTCTTTTATATATATATATATTCAAATTTCTTAAAAGTCAAATCTATTTATATATCTCTTTTGAAACACAATTGTGAAACTCATAAATAATATTACATCTACATTAATAGCCATAATAATCTTAGATTTCAAATTTCAGTGATTCGAGAAAGATGGAATCATGCATCCATTGAATACCTAATGAAAAAATCAATATAAGAGATCAAACGTTATTTAAAGCAATGGCTACGTTCGCAAAGATCTCGATTTTAAGACTGAGCATCGTGATCTTCCTCCTCTGCGACTGTAAGTGCTATTTTTGATCTTTTAATTAAGTACGTTGTAAACGAAAAAGAAAAATAACTTAATTGTTCGATCTTAATGTAAAAAAAGAGACCAAGAAAAAAAAGAAAAAGAAATAAAGAGAAAAAATCAAAAACATCAAAGTACATCGATATACTCCCTTAAATAACTTAATTCGTAATTGTTTAAAAAAGAAAAAAGAAAAAAAAAAAAAAAAGAAAAATAATAATAAAAGAAGTTTATGAAATCAAAGAGTTAAATCGTACTGAAAGATCGAAAGATTACAAATCGTTTCTGTGTCCCATTATTTCCATTAATTCTTTTCTCGTTGCACCGACTGAAAGGTGATAAGATCAACGCTTTTAATTTCTACTTTGTGTGATGTAACGATCGTGTAATGTAACATTCAAGTAACAACTCTTAAGTAAAATGTATCTCCCTCTCTCTCTCTCTCTCTCTCTCTCTCTTTTTCTTTCGACAAATCTCGACATTATGGTTTGAAACATTTATGGAATTGCACAAGTGAAAGAAAATCTTTTCAGATGCTACGAGTCTGATTATACCGGAAGAACTTCCTACGATACTTTCGCTAATTTATTCGAACATACCGCCAATAAAAAAAGGTAAGCAAACGAGGAAACATGTTCGCTAATCAATGGGGAAATATTCCATATAGAATCGTGTCTTAAACCAATACTTTCACCCGTTACACGTAATATCCATGAACAAACGAACGACGAGAGTAGATTTCCTAATCTCTTATTACGCGTTTCGTTGTAAATTTTAACTTAATGTAGTTTAATTTTCTTTCCTTTTTTTTTTCTATTTATTCTCAAATGACAGGAACGGACTCAAGACTTGGCATTGGTTTTCGGCTCGGCGAACATGCTGATTTTCAAATTCTCTTTGAATTAGGACCTCAAACTGATACCGATCCAATTGGTACCAACGAATCCAAGAAAAGAAGAGACGTAAAAAAAAAACAATATTTTTAATGATTTTATAATATTATAGAGCCTTAAGAAATATATTATTTAATTTACATTTTTTATTTCAAACAGGCGATGTACATGGCTGCGATGAAGGGAGAATTAGGCCCTTTGGCACAAGCTATAGCAAAATATCAAACTGAACGTAGGATATATGAGGAATTAGAAAAGCTCAAGAAGCTCGAGGAAAAGATGAAGAATGTTGAAGTTCAGAATACGGAAAATAATAAAAATGTAAATAATTCTTTAGAGAACAAAGTGTCAAAACTTTTCTATTACTACTGTTTAAAGATTAAAAAATCATGCATGCTTTTTTATTTTCTTTTTTTTCTATTTACATTTCTCATTTGTAATTCCTTTTTAAATGAGTCAATTAGACCTGAAAATTTAAACATTATAATTTATTACGTGAATTTAAAAAAACCATTATAATTAAAACTGATGTAACGTTTTAATTTCTTTTCCCATGTGTTAACACAAAATTTGTCTAATATCCTTTTACAAATATTTGATAATTAAATACTGTGTTTCAGGATACTTCCAGCGATTGGTTGGTAAACTGGAGTAAGGAAATGTCAAAGTCCTCCGTGACTCAAGTGCCATTAAAACAAGTTTCCAATGAGGAAATTTCTTTAAATACCAGCGGTAGTAATCAAAAAACCCAGTCTGCTGTGAGCAAGGAGAAACTAGAAGAACTAAAAAAATTATATAAATCAGTGACAGTTGATAATAAAACTTAAATTTGTATATAAGACAATGCTTACGCGCGACATGAAGTCATTTCCCGTAATATGTACTGTAATAGAGACAAAAAAAAACAAAAAACAAAAAACAAATTTCATATAATAATAATTTACACGTAACGTTTATTATATTTATTAATTAAACATCTTTTATACAAGCAACAGAATTAATATTAAATCTGTAACACAGCTTAGGCAAAGAGAATTTTTGTCGAGAAGGTATTTTCATGCGGTATTATTTCTCTTTTTCTAAATATATATGTATGCGTGTGTGTGTGTGTGTGTGTGTGTGTGTCTGTGTGTGTATGTATATTGTGAATATTTTGTATTACATATATTTCTTTTAATCAAAGCTATGCTAAGCTTTCTATGTGAGATAAATGTGATATTAATATCATCTGAAGAAAAAGTGTAATGGTTTGATGAAAATGACCTGAATACAAATAGTTACAAATACATACGTTTTCTGATTACTGCAAACATGAATCCAGGAAAGAGAGACACAAAACACCTGCGTACAATATTTTAGTAAATAACAAAATTATAATAAACTTTTCAATTATAGTAAACAATCTTATAAAATTATATATGTGTATTAAGCGAATAACAATTTTCAATATATTGTTCAATATACATTCCTATACTTTTACAATAAAATTAGATATCTCAGGTTTATAGTTCATAATAAATTTGTACCTGATTACTAAATCATACATATGAAATCTATTGCCCTGAGTCACTATGTTTGATAAATTTTTGGAATATGCACCATTATTTAATAAAATCTATATAATTTGTATGTTAACTATCATTTAGGTAGCGTTCATATTACCAATTTGTTACATATCAAACACTTATATATAATATTTGGTTTAACTATACAAAAAGTGCATGTACCAAAAGTAAATATCTTCATTGTTGCTCCTGCATTTATACTTTAAATGCAACTATTTGTTCAAACATTCCTATTGGTTTGAATAATAGATTGGTACCTACAACATAAATTAAAACAATTTAAGATTATTTTCTATCAAATGCATTGCCATAATTTCAATTTTGTGTTAGAGCAAGATAAAGTAGTACATAAGAAATAATTAAAATATCTTTAAATATATCTTACATTAAAATATATAATGTAACTGTACTTTTGTGTTTCAAAAATTACTCCACTTTGTAAATTTATTTGAGTCAAATCTTTAAGGCTGATCTTCACTTTCAATATCATTATTGTTTTGTACTTCTTCTGTCTTTTCTTTGATATTCTTTTCCCTTTTTAAACTGACTCTATATTTTTTAAGAATTCGACGTCTTTTCATACCACGTTTTGGTTTCTTTTTATTCAATAAAATATCCTCAACTGGTTCTACATTTACTTGTGTATTCATAGACGTTCTCGTTTCAATTAAAGATTCCTCTTTCATACTTTGATTATTAATATCACTATTATTTATTTCTTTATTTATTATTTGACTATTTTTCTTTGAAGTACCATCATTACTTTCCTTATCATTTGTCTTTTTGTTGCAACTTTTCAACCTACTAACTTCTACTTCGGTATCCCTTGCCTGTATTATTGTATTATTATTGGTTTTTTCAATATACCCAAGTTCTTCTGAAGGTTGTATAATCACCTTCTCTTCCTGATACTCATTCTGATCTATCAAGGTATCTGTAAGTTCCTCCTTTATTCTAATTTCATTCTCTATCTTAACAACCAGATAGTCCTTTTTTTCCTCCAATTGTATTCCTCTGGACTGTAACCATTCTTTTTTTTGTTCATTTTCTTTCTGTATAATATCTGTATCATACTTCATTAAACGTAACTTTTCACGCAATGCCTCCTTCAATCTTGTTTGTTCTTCATTTATTTGTTTCATTAAAGATTCCATTTCAGGGTCGACAATCTTTATATCCATCCAAAGCATGTTTGTACGTATATGTTCTATGTTAGAATATTTGTTCTTATTTTCTTCGCGCGCCATACTTTCGGACTAACGAAAAATAATGTCGATCATGGATGAGATTCAATACATGTCTATGGCTTCTTACATTATAATCGGCTTTGTCATCTTTTAGTCACGTTCTATGTTACCGACAAAATATAAGAAATAGATTGTAGCGCCACTATTAAATAAGAGATAGAATTTAGAATTAGGAAAAACTTTAAATTGTATTTTATTAATATTTTTCTAAATAATAGAAAAAGTTAAATGTGGCCAATTGGCTCTTGCTAATTAGTAAAAATATCGGTTATCATCACGTGAAGGTTATTGCGTATGAATAATTATGATTTTTTTTTTTTTAGTTATCACTACAAATCTAATAAAAAAAATTATGAAATTAAATATCATTTTTATAGTTCAAAAATGATTTAATGCTAAACCTTCGAGAAAAGTTAACTGTTATCTTTATTTTATTAAAAAGTATACCGTATTATCAACGTGATTTTACTTTGTCGATAATTCAGCGTTCTAGATAGGATATCTCCGAAGATGATCTTGAGTCTACTTTAATATTTAATCAATGAAAAAAATCATAAAAGTTTCATAGATCATCATTATCGTGCTTTTGTGAATTCTTTTTATAAAATTCAGAACAAAAATTACTATTCAAAAAAGTACTATCGTTAAATAAATGTCTTTTTTTTGTAATATTGCAATTATTAAAAGGAAAGCAAAAACAACGACGATCAATATATTCATATTCTCTTATATATCCGACGATATACAAATCTAAAATCTCTTGATATAGACAGTTTTATTCGTATATTACATACATTATAATGCATCACAATGAGTAATTACATTTGGTTTTTTTTGTTTTTCTTCTTTTATTACCTCTTGTGCGATATAATTAAATTCAGGAACGATCACGTCGTTTCCAACGTAAGTATAATTCCGATTAAAATTTTTTATAGGAAGAATCGACGTGACCGAAACGTAGTTACATATCTTAGGAATCGTAATGTTACATCTATTACAACCTTATACGTTAATAGAATATTTCGCAATGTTACATTAATTAACTAATTACAATATGATACATTTTTCCTTCGAGCCATTCCAAAAGCTCCAATAACTTCCGACGATGGATTTTGAGGTACGATAAGCAATATATAAGAATCTTCTTTTCACTCTATACTTAATGTCCAGTAAAATGTCGATCTTATTTTAAAGCTTGCTTGATCTATTATAGCATTTGATAGAAAATGAATATAAAAAAAAAAAAAAAAGGAAAAGAAAAGAAAAGATAAGAAAAGAATAAAGCAAAAAAGAAAAAGAGAAAAATGAAACGATAAACGTCAAACAAAAGATTTCCATTACTTTCAATGAAAATACGTGATCATTTACAAACTCGTAACGTTACAAGAAAAAAAAAAAAAAGATCGACATTTTACAGATTGTAAGTAAGTACACGCGTATAATACGTGTAATATTAAAAAGGATGCTATCTTTTACGAAAAATTCTCGAAAATCTTTAAAGCCGTAAACTCTCTTTCTAAAGAATTTTAAACGCGTTCAAAATTTCTCCCGTAGATACCTAAAAAAAAAAAAAAAAAAAAGAAGAAGAAGAAGAAGGAAGAAGAAGTAGAAGAAGATGATCGTCGGTTCGTTTCTTTTTTTCTTACGATCGTGAAAAGATCAAAGAAAAATATCGAACGACGTAAAAAATATACACAGATTCTCTCGTCATCTATTTCCTTTCTCTCTCTCTCTCTCTCTCTCTCTCTCTCTCTCTCTCTCTCTCTCTCTCTCGTTTTTCGTTTTCTAATGTTTCAGTCGATAGTGAATCCATTTGTCGTCGTCGGATTTTTATCACGTGACGTTGATTTCCTCGTCCTCTTCGTTTTCGGTCTGTTCTTCCGGTCTCTGAGGACTCGTAAGAGGACTCACATCGCTGAGGTCCATCCTTGGCCTATCGCCGTCGGCATCGCTCAAATCTGGATTTGGATTGTTCTTATTTGGTAAAGTTTGTTCCCGAGAACCTCCTGTAGCTAGAAGTTCTCTCTCTTTACTGTTACGCCATTTCATTCGTCGATTTTGGAACCAGATCTTTACCTGAAATGATAGATTAAACGAAATTATGATTAACGTAAATCCTTGAAAAGAAAGAAAAAGAAAGAGAGAGAGAGAGAGAGAGAGAGAAAGAAAGAGAAAGATAGATAGATATGGAGATAGAGAGAGAAATAGAGAGAGAAAGAGAGATAGGATGGAGTGAAAACTTTACCAAGAAAATAAAGTAGGTATCTATTTCTCGCGATATTAATAATGCGTGACGTCGAACGATATTAAAATTCATTCGTCCCACACAAACCGGGTACCGCCTCTTTCCGGCCGGACTTTTCAATAAAGCGCGAAGGGTGTTCGCACGGATGACCGAGCTCTCTCTTTCTCTCTCTCTTTCTCTCTTTTTCTCCCTCCTCTTCCCTATCATCGATTTAAATCCTCCTCTGTTTTCTTTTTCTTTTCTCTCTCTCTCTTTCTTTTTCTCTCTTTCTCTCTCTCTCTCTCTCTCTCTCTCTCTCTCTCTCTCAAACCTCTCATCTCGCTCTCGATAAAGACATCGAACGAACGAGGGAGAGAAATGGTGATGATACGTAGAAAGGAGTAGAAGAAATTCTCTCTCTCTCTCTCTCTCTCTCTCTCTTTCTATGTATATATGTACGTATGTGTACGTATATGTATATACGTGGTCCAACGGAGGAGATGAAGGAGAAAGAAAGAAGATGAAGTGGAAGTAAGAAGAGAAGAGTCACCCCCTTATTTTCGTACGCTAAAGACCATGCATTACCGGGGCCGTTCAACGGGCCAACGTCAAACGCACACGAGACCTGAAATTCTTCCCCCTTCTCTTCTCCCTCTTTCCCACTCTATCTAACCACCCACCCATACACCCGAATCGAACCGAACGAACCTTCTCTGGCATACACCCTCTCTCCCCTCCATCTCTTCTCAAGCCACCCTCTCTCATCCTCCTCCCCCTTAACCTCCACCAGTACCTACTACTTCGGTACCCTTCCTGCCACCGCTCAATCCCATCCGCCACTTTATTATACGCGTTCCTGCCTTGAGCCGTGCTCCACGGAAAATCGTTGACCCCGCGGCCGGATTGATTTACCTAAACTGCTTTTCGAATTTTCATTCGGTGGTCGAGGTGTGCGCTTGACACCCTCACAGAAAAAGAGAGAGAGAGAGAAGGAAGAAGAAAGGAAATGGATGTTCTAAAATCTAATACTATAAATGCATATATAATTGGTTGTATCTCGTAATCGATGAATTAATTCTATAATTCTATAACGTGTACTAATTATAAACAGATATAATTTATAATTGGTAAAACACAAATTTTCTTTGAAAATAAATTAGATAAGACAAAAGGTTCGGATATGAATTGATGATTAATCTTTGTTGGGAAGAGAAGGATCGGGGGAAGCGTGAAATAATAGGTAAAAAATACAACATTCATATATACACACATACACACAGAAAGAGAGAGAGAGAGAGAGAGAGAGAGAGACAGTCATATGTATGTATATAAGTATATAAATTATATAATACAGAAAGGTTAATAACGAAATTTATCGTTGAAATCGTAAGACGTAAAAAAACGGTATACGTTATTTCAGGATAGAAAACAAAGCTCGTGAAGCAATAGCGAGTCCATTAATTGCTCGTAATCCGTTTCAGAGCGAGCATTAAATCCGCTTGCGAATGGGCGAACGGACGTTTTTCGCAAGTTTCGCACAATGTGATCGCACGCTCGCGACCGGCAATTTAACGCATAATCAGTGTGCAGTTGGTTATTGTTTAAAACATTGGGAATTTTCACGCAAGGCCGCGCGTATGCACTTGACACCTTCGGACGCGAGCGATATGACGTGCTAATATACTCCAGCTTTTAGGCTCCGCTCATACGAGCAACGTTAACATAAACAACATCGTTCACAACAATGCACGCGTGCATCGGATATCGGTTGTGAGACTAATTACGAGCACTTCATTTTAGTTTCTAATTCTAATACCACATATTAATAATATTAGTTGTCATTTCGTTAAGGGCTTCATTTAATAATACCTATGAAATATATTTTATTATCTATATCATTTTAATATAATTATCTTTACTTCATATAATAATATTATTATCGATATATTACTACGTAAGGGTGTAATCATACGAGTATTATTTTTTTTCTTTTTTCTTTTTTTTTTCTATTTATCTACCTAGGTTACGTAAGGATAAATAAATGGGGTTAATTTTTATTTGACATTAGAGATTGTTTAGTACTACTATTATTGCTGCCACTATTACTATCACTACTACTGCGATGATTAACTCTTCCTTTGGAAATATTTACAAGTGACATTGCTTGTTGTATTTTTTTTTTTTTTTTTAATATATCGAACGTTCTTTCATATTATATACATATATATAATAAAAATTATTAAACGATAAAACTGTTTTATTTTATATTTTAAATAAATAAAACATATTATAAAACAACTTATATTATGGAAGATAAAAGGTTCAATTTTAACGTAACAAAAAGGCAGAACGTCCTACGTTCGTTCAGGATTTTACGATCGATATTTATGGAAATATCGAGATAGAGGATTAATCGTTGAATTATGCCGCTCGACGTGCCAACGCTTTTGTACTCTCCCACCACGTTTAGGATATACTCGTATGAAATTCGTTAGCAAAACTACTACGTATAATGGGTGCCGGTTTAACTCTATGTTTATATATTTAAGCCCGTGTGATATCTGGTGCTCACAATTGTATTCAATAATTACAATCTCGTCTCGCTTTATGCCCTCGCTTTGACATAATAAAAGGAAGAAAGGAAGAAAAAGAAAGGAAAAAAAAAAAAGAAAAAAGAAATAATCGGAATGAAATTAATGAAAAAGATTTACTTTTATTGTATATTCTGTAATTGCGATCGTTTCGTTTTTCAAAACGTCTCGATCGATGACACACGACACATACATTCTAGTATTAGAGATTAATGTCGAGACGAAGAAGAAATAAGTGAAAGTTAACAAAAAAAAAACAAAAAAAAACAAAATAAATAAATACATAAATAAGAAATAAGAAAAAGGGAAAAGGGAAAAGGGAAAAAGAACAAAAGAAAGAAAGAAAAAATAAATAAACTTCGTTACGAAATGAAGAAAAGTTTCGATGCTGGATGACCGTATCGCGAACGATTTTCCAAAATTTTCATCTGACGTGGCCCGAGCGTGCATCTGACGCGATCGCGAAACCCTAACGACCTGACGTGCTAATATTCTCTTTGGCCTTAGGGTGTACTCACACGGAGTCGTGTACTGACCCGACTCGACCTCTGTCATGCGAGAAAGAGGCAGAGAGAGTGAGAGAGAGAGAGAGTCAGAGAGAGAGAGAGAGTGAGAGAGAGAGAGAGAGAGAGAAAGAGAGAGATTATAGAAGGGGTAGAGGTAACAGGTACGTAAAGGGCTCGTGTCATAACCCTTAACACGTAAGCGTTGAATTTTCCTTTAACTCGCCGACGATGACCACCAACGTGGGTGTTATACATATATATTTATAAATAAATATATATATATGTATGTATGTATGTATGTATGTATATAATGCGTTACGACAAAAGAGGAACAACCTGCGGAGAAGCAAAGTCCGGAAATGAGGTGTAAGCTGGGACGTATTTGTCTCTGAAAATTCAACGGGGCGTTATTCTGATCGCTCAAAGTGTTCGTTAATGTCACAAGAAATTCCGTTTTCTTGGACGGCAAATGTCTAAGTTGCTTTTTTTTTTTGTTTTGTTTTGTTTTACCTCTCTTATTTTCGATGTCACGTAGGGGGTACGTGACGACGCGACTCGTACTTCCTTTCTTTTCTTTTCTTTTCTTTCCTTTCTTTCTTTCTTTCTTTCTGTTTTTCTCTTCACACACTTTTTTATTTAACAAACAAAAGTCGGCGCACTGCGAAAGGAAGCTTTGCTTTCTGGATCCCTCCTTCTTTTCGTTTTACGTTTACCGGGAAACGGCGGTGATTGATTGTCCCGTCAACGGCAGGCAGGACGGAAACTAACAAAAGTAACAAAGCGCCTACGCCCGGTAGAAAGCGAGAGGGAGAGAGACAGAGAGAGAGAGAAACAGAGAGAGAGACAGAGAGAGAGAGAGAGAGAGAGAGAGAAAACGAGAAAGAAAAATAGAAAGAAAGAGTCTGCTCTTTTCGGCAAAGTTGAATTGCTCGTTGTTCATCGATCTCATCGTTCAGTCTGTTTGTCATTCGACCTTAATTTCATGTCGACCTTGATTGAAGTAGAATGAGGACATAGGACCGAAGAGAATAGAGGACAAGGTAGATGGACATAGATGGAACATAGTTTAGAAAGAATTTTGATAATCTACAAATATTGGTATATATACATAATATATGTATATATTATATATATATATATGTATGTATATATGTATGTATATATGTATGTATATACATCAATACAGATAGTTTGATCATTTCGTTTCCACTTCGCGACGAGTATATAGTATAATACCTTCTTACGTATTATCCGCTGAAACGATCCCCTATATCTCGATTCTCGAGTGATCTCAGACAGCATTCTCGTCTCGCGAGTGAGCAATCGTATTTCAACTTCGAAAGCGATCCCCCGGGTTCTGTCCTTTCCTTCAATTTCTAAAGATTCATTCTCATTCTCGGCACCAACTTCTTACAAATTAGTTCGATAATCGATTTTATTTTATATATACATAATATATGTATAGATTATATATATATATATATATATATATATATATATATTCTCGTGATTATTTATCGACAGATATAGATATAAATATAAATATAAATTGTGCGTGTTAGTGTACAAACTATGCTTGAAATAGCCGAATCGAGCTTAATGACGATATCCAAAACGCGTTACAGTACCTCTCTACCATAGGAACAGCATAATAGTTAAACGATTACCCGTCGCATTTCTCTCTCATATATCTCTCGTATAACGATATAACCGAATGAAATATACTGGTAAACGCGAAAGCTTCGCAGAGCCATA